TAATAAAACGATGAATAATAAAGCACATAAAAGATTTGTGACAGTTATATATAGCTTATATTATTATAATTAGCTGCATCTTTTATAAGTTTTATTTTAAAATTTCAACTAAATATAAATTTTATAAGAAGTAACAAGAGCGCACAAGGGTTGGGCTTTAGATTCTGTAGTTTTACAGAACGTGATTACGCGTTATAATAAAGAGGATATTAAAAGTCAGCCACAAGAAGGAGTTTATGTTCACGGTTTGTTTTTGGAAGGCGCATCGCTCGATCGAAAAACCGGCAAACTCGTTGAGAGTAAACCAAAAGTTTTGTATGAACAAATGCCGGTTATTTACATTTTCGCAATAAACACTACCGCCGGTAAAGATCCGAAATTATATGAATGCCCTATATATAGAAAGCCTCAAAGAACAGATGCAAAATATGTCGGTTCTATCGATTTTGAAACGGATTATAATCCTCGACATTGGACACTTTGTGGTGTAGCTCTGTTATGTGATATTAAATAAAGAATCAGATAATGTATAATACAATTTATATAATATAAATATATAATGTATAATACAATTTATATAATATAAATAACTTTAAAATAATTTAAATAATACAAATTTAAGAATTATATTTATAGTACTTTCTATAATACAAAATATTAAAATTTGCTTATATTTTGTATTATTTCTCTTTAGATCAAACAATAAAAAAATATGTTATGAATTATTAATTAGATAATTTATATTATGTAAATTGTTTATTTTTTATATGCAAAATACAAATCTCTCACATTACCATTTTTTCAATAATTTTTTCTAATGCAAAAATATAATGTTTAAAATCAAAGTGTTACAATAATATATTGCAGATTACTTGAACCGATAACTAAACCAATTTACTAATTATTTACTACGTGATACGCCTATCAAGCGCTCGATGTAAACTAAACCTGTATTTATCTTGAATTTGTACCAGAACCTTTTCGTTTTACTAATTATTTACTAAAATAATATTATTTTTTTTTCTTAATGATTTAACTATTACATATGTCACATATATCACTTATACATATCAATTAAAGCATTAATATCAAAAAACTAAATTTTCGAAACAATAAAATTTTATTTATAAAAACTATAGAACTGTGTAAAACTGTATTCATTTAAAAAATTTCACTTTTTCACATGTTCGAAATATAAGATAAAATATTTTTAGACAACTTAAGCTTGCATATAATAAAAATATTTTATGAGACACAAATAATAACTGTAAATTTGACAAAAATCAACTCAAATCTTTCTTCAAAAAAAATAAGACTGAAAAACGTGTATCAAAATACTTTAATTAATATTATCAATATTATTTGTTAAAATGTTATATTTACATTTATGAATTCTATATTTTATGACAGAAGCAATATTAAAAATTCTACCATCTTGGTTAAAGCATTCCAGTCAGCTTCTTGCTCAGTTTTTCCTATACCAATCTGTGAAAAATGAGGACAAGTATTGAGCTCTATTATTCTCATAAAATAGCTCTTATCTGCCGGTATTTCTTTTGTATTAACTGTTACATTAATATCTGATAATATAGTTTCTAATTTAGATAACTTCTTATTTATTATTATGGTAAATTTATCTGCATCTTCTTCGTCCAAAGATAGAATCTCGTTTAAATAAGAATGCAATTCTTCTAATGCTTTCTTACGTTTATCCATTTCTAAAGAATCTCTCCATTTAGTGTGATATTCAGATAATTTAATACCTAAATTCATCTTTTTTATTGATTTGTTAAGTGAATAGTAGCGTTCTTTTGCATTTCTATTCATTATTTCCGTTTTATTAGTTGCTAAAGATGAGTCTAAAGATCCTTCTTCATCTTCAATGCTATTTAATTGATCCACAAGAGCTTTTATTCTTTTCACCATTTTTCCTGCAGCATCATGCTTTGCCATTTTTTTTGTCGGTGCAACTCCTTCTTCTACAAAACTAGATACTGTACATGTAATAGTGAAGACTCTAGCATGTGGTTGTCCAGAATCCTTGATAAGATCATAAATTGGTTCCTGTAAGTTATTTTCCGCACATAAATCTTGAAAAACATAATGATAAGTAACAATTATAGTAATTATAGTATACATATATATTTTATTTAATCATATATGTAAATGTTTGTATAATTGTAATAACTTTTAACGATACATTGCACATTTATTTTAATTGCAACAGAATGAATTTATATTATTGTATGAATATTGAAAATAAAGAATGAGCCCCTCCATCGCCCATTCTCGTGAGAACGCAACCATATATTTTTCTTCGTCTCTCCGATTTTAACACGACATACATATTTCTGTCTGATAATTTTTTTCTTGATGATACTTTTTGAAATGTCATGAAGCCTAGGTCAAATTAGAAACTTATTGCACTCGTTTTAATGCAGCGCTTACAGCAGTTTTATAAAGCGCCAGAGCAGCCTATATTTTATTTTGGCGCTTCTAGTTTATAGAGATTTGATTTGAAATTCATACTAGCCCGTACAATGAAAAATAATTGCTCGTAATTCCAGAGTACCAATTTGTTAATGACTCAGAAAAATAACATGGCGGCCTGCTCTCAAAAAACTTTCGATGGGTAGAATAAATAATTGAAATAAGAGTTGTGAAAATTGTATAAATTAAAAACCTCCAATCATTCTTTAGTAAAATTTCGAATTTTCGTATCAACTTCCGATTTGTGTTATACCGTATTTTCAGGGAGTAAGTTATTGATCAGAAAACTTTGCCTTGTTGCTTGAAACGGGTGTATATTAAGTAAAATTTATAAATGTACAGTTCTCAGGTCAAGTACAATGAAGCTATACGCTTAAAAAGTTTACTGATTATTTGTCGTAATATACAATAAAAAATTACATATTAATTATTCAAGATACAAGTAAGAAATAAATATCATTAAAATATACAAAAAAATTTATCAATTTGACTCTGAAAAGTAAGTGAAATGGTTCTCAAAAGTGCAAGTACAAAATGTATTAGTGTTTTGATAATGATTGATTTAAATATTCCCATTAACCTAGGCAGGGTGGCATATGTGATTGGGATTTAACATTATCAGTAATTTATTGAACAGACAGAGAAAAGTTTTGTTGTATGCATCGGTTCAGTGTTTAAAATAACCATATACTATTCATATACTCTAAAGCACAAATTCTTCATTTCTATCATAAATAATATCTATTTATTAAAATTTAGCAGACGTCTTTTAAATAGAAAATAGTGTCTTGTGATCATGAAGAATAGGTTTTGAATAGCAAGGTTTACAATTTACAATTTACAACTTACAATTTTCTTCGGAAACACAGAAGACAAAGGTATTTGTATATAGTTTTGTATATTCACTTCGTTGTGTGTAGAGCTTTTAAAAATACGTTGAATCCTTATTCTAATCTAATCTTCTTCTAATGTAATACTTTTCGTACTTCAAATGTTGTAGTAATTATTCTGTAAGAGTTTTGACATTATTTCTAAATAGACATTGAGAAACATCATAGTTTTTTGAGTGCAGTTTTTCATTGTACAGACTAGGTTTAAATTTTTGAGGACCTTTTTTTGAACATGGCTTGACCTTTTCATTTTTATGATTTTTTGGAGATAGGGTAAGAAAGGACGAATGAGAGTAAGAGAAGACGAGATAGGCGAAATTGGGTGAAAGAGAACGAAAAAGGGTGAGAAAGGACGTACGAGGGTGAAAGAGGCGAAAGATGGTGAAAGAGGACGAAAGAGGGTGAAAGAGGACGAAAGAGGACGAAAGATGGTGAAAGAGGACGAAAGAGGGTGAAAGAGGACGAAAGAGGATGAAAGAGGGTGAAAGAGGGTGAAAGAGGACAACAGAGAGTGAGAGAGAACGAAAAAACTGAAAAATAGGACAAAAGAGGGTGAGTTAGGGCAAAAGAGGGTGGGAGTGGGGTGGAAGTAGGGGCGGGGGGACGGGATGTGGAGGGAAAGGGTGGGTGGGGAGTTGAGGGAGGTGTGAGTGAAAGGTGAGAAGAGATTTATATATATATATATATATAATCCTGATGACGTCAGCGGACGCGGACAGAGAAGAAGAAGGAGACGACGTTACTTCATTTTTCATGAAAAACGTCACTTTTTGACCGCTTGTATCTCCAGAACGGCTTGACCGATTTTATTCCTTCTTGGCTCAAATTACTCGTGGCGGTGCCGCCTTTCAGGTTATATTACGTGCAATTCAAAATTTTTTATATTTTAGTAGTTCTACACCCCCTGTTTGCGCACGAGCAAACCGTATCGACATGTTCGACGATCCTGTTGAAAAAAAAAAAAAAAAGGTTTTGTTTTGTTCTTCCTAATATAGGCACAAGTTAAATTCTGTATACGTCCGAGCAAATAATACTAAGCACGACCACGTCGCGATCACGGTTGACAATCGTGCGGGTCACCTGCTCCGTACGACAAACAGGCATGATCGGAGTGTGATCGGGCCTCGCGCCACCGAGCAAATTCTCAATATTTTCAGACAATCGGCGAAGCTCGAACAGTAAGGTCGCAGGCGAGTGCGCTCGAACAACTTAATCCCGATTATACTCTTGATCTTGCTCCGGGTCTTCGATTATATCTGTTTATCTATTGAGTACAAAGTGTATTGTTTAAAATTAAACCGAGTGTGTTAATCAACAAGGAACTATTAACTTCATTCTCGCCTTGCAAGCCACTGACTTCACTCCTCCTTATCGGCGCGAAAGCGTCGAGTACCATTCGACCTACGCTCTCCTTTTTCTATTCTTGGTCCTTCGAGTTATCAACGCCTTTCCTTGTCGCTGAGAAGCGATAACTCCTCCGTCGACCATCAAGGTCAACACCGATACGGTGTGTCGAAATTATCGTGTGCGACAAAGGGTGCGAACATAAAGTTTTGGTCCTTCGAGCCGGATTAAGGAGCAGAGTGTCAGTGATTGAGACTGAAGTAATAAACAATCAAGATGAGCGATCCATTAATTCTACAGCAAACGCTCTTTCACACCATTTCTCGGGCATTAGAGAATTTCAAGAAGATCGGAAGAAACAATTATACGCCCGCAACGATTCGCTCTCGAATGACGTCCCTCAAGGAAACCTGGATGCAGTGCTGTCAAACTCATGCAGCGATTCTCCAAGCGTACGCTGAAGCAAAGAGGGAGAAGATGGAGTATTTTCAAGCCAACAAGATGGAGAGTCATGAGGATCTCTATCAAGCAGCAATAGACTATATGACGAACTGCCTCGAGGAATCAGAGCCGACTGTGAGTCCGAACCAATCTATCAATTATTCAACGAATCATGCGGATTCTGCGGCGCTTTCGTTACAGCATCTCCCAGCTATTCAATTACCATCCTTTAACGGGAGCTTCGACGAATGGGAGAGCTTTCGCGATCGCTTCACGGCTTTAATTATAAATAATAAGGAGCTCTCAGATTTTAGTCGGATGCACTTTCTCGTTTCAAATCTCACCGGATGTGCTCACAACGCGATAGCCAGTTTATCAGTGACCGCGGATAATTTCAACATTGCGTGGACAGCGTTAAGGGCGCGTTTCGAAAATAAGCGCCGATTAATCGAGATGCATGTATCTACCTTGTTTTCGTTACCAACCTTGTTGCGCGAATCATCGTCCGAATTGTATGCGTTGCGCAATAAAGCGGAAAAAGCTGTCGAGTCGTTAAAGCGATTAAATCGATCCTCTACCGATATTCTCGATGACATCCTCGTTCACTGCATATCTCAAAGGCTTGACCAAGCCACACGACGCGCTTGAAAACTAAAGTTTAACGAAGCATCTCCTCCCGCGACGTACGACGAATTACTGACATTTTTATCATCGCGCGCGAGTGCACTTGAGGAACTCAAACCGATAAAAGGGTCAAGTTCAAGTCGCGAAAATAAAGTAGCCAGTGCTAATGCGTCGGTAGCGGCGAATCCTATGTGCGGGCTGTGTAAAACCAGCATTTCCTCAATCATTGTCCAAAATTCCTCGACAAAAGTGTGAGTCAACATCGAGAGTCACTGCTGGACAGACTCAACAGTAGTATTATCTTGGTTAAACCAGCACCCTTCTAAATGGAAGACATTTGTGTCTCATCGCGTAGCGTTAGTACAAACAAAGCTACCAAATACGCAATGGCATCACGTGCCATCGGAGGAGAATCCAGCTGACTGCGCCTCGCGCGGACTCCTACAAACAAAACTCTCGTCATACCCTCTTTGGTGGAACGGTCCACAGTGGCTAAAAATGCCATCTTCAGCATGGCCAGTCTTTGATTTCTCGCCACAGGACGCGACCATAGTAGAAGCTAAATCCGTTACAGTTCAATCGACTCAAATTAACGAGTCGTGGGATTTAGCAAGCAAATATTCCAGGTGGCGAAAACTCGTTCGAGTTACGGCGTATATTTTTCGATTCCTCGACAATTGTCGCATAAGCGCGAAACGAGAAAATAACACGCAGACAAGTCCTTTCGCCGTCTCAGCAAACGAATTTGAAAGGGCAAGTTTGTTTTGGCTAAAGACGATTCAAAGGGACATGTTTTCGAGCGATCTGAAAGCGCTTCGACAACGTCAACAACTCTCTCCTCGAAGCTCGATACGATCATACGATCCGTTCATTGACGAACAAGGATTGATCCGGGTTGGTGGACGGCTGCAGAATTCAAATTTTCCATACAAAACAAAACATCCTATTCTTCTCACATCTCATCCACTTATCATGCTGTTGATTCGTGACGCTCACGTTCGATCTCTCCACGCAGGATATCAATTGACTCTTTCCATTCTAAAGCAAGAGTACCTAATATTACGAGCTAGAACACTAGTCAAAGCAGTCATACATCGATGCGTGACATGCGCTCGTGAACAAGCCTCACGCCCCACTCAACTCATGGGCCAACTGCCACGCGCTCGCGTGACCGTCTCATCACGAGCATTTCAGTATTGCGGAGTAGATTTTGCGGGACCCATTGACACTCGAGCTTCATCCGGTCGCGGGATCAAATCTATCAAGACATACATTGCAGTATTCATATGCTTGGCTACTCGAGCAATTCACCTTGAGTTGGTAGGAGGATATTCAACTCATGACTTCTTAAATGCTTACACGAGGTTTTGTGCCCGTCGAGGATTGCCGTCTGACATGTATTCAGACAATGGAACGAACTTTATCGGGGCAGAACAAGAATTAGCAAGGGCTTACAATGACGCATTGAGAGATCCAGATTTTCTCAATCAAACAGCATCAGACAAAGTTTCCTGGCATTTTATGCCCCCACATGCTCCTCACTTCGGAGGGCTTTGGGAGGCAGGAGTACGCAGCGTAAAATATCATTTAAGGCGAATCCTCGGTGCGCATAAATTAACTTTCGAAGAGCTTACCACTCTTCTAAGTAAGATCAAAGCATGCCTAAATTCTCGACCTCTCGGACCTCTCACTGCGTCTATCGATGACTACGAGTCATTGACTCCGGGGCACTTTCTCATCGGGACCGCTCTAACTACGTATCCCGAACCCTCTGTTTTACATTTAACTGAAAATCGCCTGTCACGATGGCAGCTTGTACGACAACTTGTCGAACGGTTCTGGAAAATTTGGCAAGCCGACTATATAAATACATTACAACAAAGGAGCAAGTGGCGAACGAAACAACCTTCGGTTAAAATCGGAACCATGGTATTATTGAGAAATGCCACATTACCGCCATGCAAATGGCAACTAGGAAGAGTAATCCAATGTTTTCCGGGCTCTGACGGTTTGACTCGCGTCGTCTTAGTGAAGACAGCGACTTCCGAATATAAGCGTCCTATCGTACAATTATGCATCCTTCCGATTGATATCGAGACGCAATCCGACGACGAGTCGGGCAAACCTCTATAGAATCAATTTAATATCAATCTTAATGTAATAATTCAATAATCTTAAGGATCAATGTATCATTCATACGTTATTCTCTAGTTATAAGCGATATATCATGTAGATAATTTTCCCTTTATTCAATACCGTCAATAAGTTTAGTAAGGATCAAATCTGCATTGAAAACGATAGCGAATGGCGGGCGGCGCCAAGCAAGTAATACAAGGAGAATACGTTCTCCATCACCGTACAATCGAGACGAATTGTTAATCCTTCATTTAATTCGAAACTATAGTTTCGAGGCGGGCGGTATGTTTGCGCACGAGCAAACCGTATCGACATGTTCGACGATTCTGTTGAAAAAAAAAAAAAAAGGTTTTGTTTTGTTCTTCCTAATATAGGCACAAGTTAAATTCTGTATACGTCCGAGCAAATAATACTAAGCACGACCACGTCGCGATCACGGTTGACAATCGTGCGGGTCACCTGCTCCGTACGACAAACAGGCATGATCGGAGTGTGATCGGGCCTCGCGCCACCGAGCAAATTCTCAATATTTTCAGACAATCGGCGAAGCTCGAACAGTAAGGTCGCAGGCGAGTGCGCTCGAACAACTTAATCCCGATTATACTCTTGATCTTGCTCCGGGTCTTCGATTATATCTGTTTATCTATTGAGTACAAAGTGTATTGTTTAAAATTAAACCGAGTGTGTTAATCAACAAGGAACTATTAACTTCATTCTCGCCTTGCAAGCCACTGACTTCACTCCTCCTTATCGGCGCGAAAGCGTCGAGTACCATTCGACCTACGCTCTCCTTTTTCTATTCTTGGTCCTTCGAGTTATCAACGCCTTTCCTTGTCGCTGAGAAGCGATAACTCCTCCGTCGACCATCAAGGTCAACACCGATACGGTGTGTCGAAATTATCGTGTGCGACAAAGGGTGCGAACACCCCCAAAAAATGGACTTTGATGGTGCAGGATAAGGAGACTTGTAGTGTCTTTTAAGGTCTTTTAGGGTTTGAACATGGCCGGAGACACTACCGCGTCTCCTAATACATAATAATGTCGTAAAATCGTATATAAGTGTATAAATACAAATATAAATACATATTCATATTTACATTTGTGTAATCCTTTAAAAAAAGTAAAAGAGGCGCCCAGTTAACGGCATGCCAGTAACAAAAAATTACCCATTGCAAACCCTAAGACTAATTGTAAAATCCTAAGACTTTTAAAAATATTTTTAATAAAAATGGTTGTACAAGATAGTTATTTTTATCTATAGTAAGCAAAGAGGACCGTCGTATTTTAATTTAAAATATGACAGAGGTGGTGACGGGTTCTTTGCTCATTTATTTAGATGTTTATCATATATAATGGATGATATAATCTCTAAAAACTTATCTTTAAAAAAAAGATAAAAAAAAGGCGCCCAGTTAACGGCGCTCAGTTAACGGCGTCCAGTTAACGGCCAGTAACAAAAAATTACCCATTTCAAATTCATGTAGAATCCTATGAAAAATTAATTATTGCAAACCCATGTAGAATTCTATGCAAAATAAACCATTGTAAACTTATGTAGAGAATTTTACGAAAAATTATCCATTGTAAACCCATGTAGAATTTTACTACAAAAGTTTTAACTACCTGACGTGCCAATTGATCAGTGCAGGATGTAATATGCACATATATAAGAAAGAGAGTGTGTGTGTGAAAAGAATCGAGGCCTTTTAATGTTCGTATCCATTTAATTTTACGACTTTCAATCGGTACAGACTTTTCCTTCGGTCGCACGTCCGCACGCGATAACTGACGGGGGCCGAATCTCTCGAACCCGCGCTATCTATTCTCTTCCTGCCCGTTCCTACGACCTTCGAGAATTTTCTCGACTCATCCTTTTTAATTTCGCTTGTGTTATTGTTTTCGAGTCTCGATTATCGTCTTTGTCTCCCCGTCTTGTCCGTTGTGTCTTTTCACTTGTTTATTTTGTCTCGCGTCTCGCTTTTCCTTTCGTCCCGCGTAAGTTTCGCATATATGTAAACTGGGGAATATGTGACGATATAATCGCCACAGTACTCCCCCGCCAGTGCTATACCGATAGCACGATATTTCGATGTTCGGACGCTACGAATTACATTTTCCTTTATACGTAAGCGCGACGCAAAATTACACACATAAAATCAAAACAAAAAAACAATAAGAGAACGCTAATATAATATAATCGTGTCGTTCGTGCTCGCATATGCGTACGCGTGTCAATTACTTGAGAACCAAAAAAAACAAAAAATATAAGATAGAGAAATAGCGCTATAAACCGCGAAACCAATAGAAATAGAATACAATAAAATGAAATAACTTGCTTAACGTGTGAATTCTCCCAGAACCTCGCGACCCGAAATAATTATTTCCTATCCTACGTCACAGGCCCGCCTGGAAACGGTCCGGGAACCGGACTCTTCTCCCTGCTCTCGTCGTCGTCTCGCCTCGTCGGAGCGGCGGTCCCGCGTCCTCGCGCTCCTCTCGTCGATTGACCTCACTGCCTCGGTCCCGCGCCGTCGATCCCGCCGGCCCGTCGCCTCCTGTATCGCTTTCTGAAAAAATATACGCGGGCTTTAGTCGGTCTATCGTGACCGTTCTCTCTTTGCCGTGCATGCGCACGACAAAGACTTTCTCGCTGCGACTGATGACCTCGTACGGTCCCTCGTATGGCTCCTGCTGCATCCTTTTTGGTCCGTCGCGCCGCACAAACACCCGCCCGGCCGTCGCTAGGTCCTTGAAGACGAACGGTCGTCGCTCTCCATGCCGGGTCCCGTCCACCGGTCGCAGCCTCTCGAATCGCTCACGCAGCGTCCTGACGAAGTCGACGGCACTGTCCTCGTTGTCCGTCGGCAGCCGACTTAGGAACTGCCCCGGGATCCTCAGCGCCTGACCGTACACCAGTTCGGCTGTGGTCGCCTTCAGGTCGTCCTTCCACGCTGCTCTGATCCCCAGCAGGACGGTCGGCAATGACTCCGTCCAGCGGTCGTTTCGCTGGCACCTGATCGCCGCCTTGAGCTGGCGATGAAACCGCTCGACCATCCCATTCGCCTGCGGGTGATATGCCGTCGTCCTCAATTTTTCTGCTCCCGTTATCTCGCTCAGTCGTCGAAACAGACCGGACTCAAACTGAGTCCCCTGGTCTGTCGTAATTCGGAGGGGTGCCCCAAATCGGCAGATCCACCCCTCATAAAACGCTCTCGCGATCGTCTCTGCCTCCTGGTCCCGCACGGGGAACGCCTCAGGCCATCTCGTGAAACGGTCCACGCACGTGAGACAGTACCTCTTGCCCTCTGAGACTGGCATTGTGATGATGTCTAGATGCACGTGCTCAAATCTGCTAGATGGAGCAGCAAATTTCTCTAGCGGTGCCGAGACGTGTCGCGACACCTTGGACCGCTGGCAGGGCACACAGGATCGAGCCCAACCCCGGCAGTCCACGTTCATCGACGGCCAAACGTAGCGCTGCGCCACGAGTTTGCCCGTCGACCTGATTCCCGGGTGCGCCAGGCCGTGCACCAGGTCGAATGCGGCCCGACGGAAAGGCTTTGTCAAATATGGCCTCGGTGTCGGCGTCGCTGTGTCGCAGTAGATCGCAACTCCGGTTCCGGGGATCTCCACCTTGCTCAGCCTTAGTCCCGTCTCCCGTCTTAAATACTTCTCGAGCTCCTCATCGGTCCTCTGTGATTCCGCCAGTGCGGCGTAATTCATAGGAGTTCGGAGCTCCTCGATTCTCGATAGCGCGTCCGCCACGACATTCTCCTCGCCCGTCACGTGCCGGATGTCCGTCGTAAATTGTCCGATGTAGTCTAAATGGCGGAACTGGCGCGGCGTGCTCCTCTCAGGTTTCTGTCGGAAAGCAAAGATGATTGGCTTATGGTCGGTATATACCGCGAACGCGCGCGCTTCCAGCATGTGCCGAAAATGCTTGACCGCCAAGTATATCGCTAGTAGCTCTCTATCAAAGGCGCTATACTTCGATTCGGCTGGGCTTAGCTTCTTCGAGAAGAATGCTAACGGCTCCCAGCCGTCGCTGCCCCGCTGTTGTAATGCCGCGCCGATGCTTTGTTCGGACGCGTCAGTAAACAACGCGAGCTCCGCGCTCGTCCTTGGGTGCCTCAGAAGCGCGGCCTCGGCCAAGCCTTCCCTCGATGTTTCGAATGCTCGTTGAGTCTGCTGCGTCCACGATATCGGCGTCTTGCCCTTAATGTTTTCTCGAAGCAGGTCATTGAGCGGTGCCAAAATCTCGGCAGCTTTAGGCATGAATCTTCGGTAAAAATTTACCATGCCTAAGTACCTTCTCAATTCCTTCGCGGTCCTCGGCATCTGACACGCGAGGATTGCTTCCACTCGCGCCGGCAGCGGTCGTGTTCCTTCGTCGGACACCTCGTATCCGAGGAATTCCACCCTTCGTTGTCCGAATACGCACTTCGTGGGGTTGATCACTACCCCGTATACTCGCAAACGCTCAAACACCGTCCGTAGGTGCTCGTGGTGTTCTTCCTCTGACGATGACGCGACGAGGATGTCATCGATGTATGCGTAGCAGAATTCAAGGTCGCGCAAAACCTCATCGATGAACCGCTGAAACGTCTGTGCCGCGTTGCGTAATCCGAACGACATGTATGGAAATTCATACATGCCGAACGGCGTGGTGATCGCCGTCTTCGGGATGTCCTCCTCCGCTACCGGTATCTGGTGGTATGCCCGCACTAGGTCCAGCGTGGTAAAAACTTTCCTACCGCCGAGGGCCTGCGCGAAATCCTGTATATGTCGCACCGGGTAGCGATCCGGGACCGTTCGCGCGTTCAGCGCCCTGTAGTCTCCACAGGGTCGCCACTCTTCGTCCTTTTTTGGCACCATATGTAAGGGCGCCGACCAACTACTCCTTGAAGGTCGCGCGATTCCAGCTTCCACCATCCTTCTGAATTCGTTCTTCGCGGCCGCCAATCGGTCCGGAGCGAGCCTCCGCGGCCTACACGCGA